CAGCCTCATGTCGGGCGGCATCCTAAACAAACTTCCGAGCAAGATTTCGTCGCGACGGCGGAGCGGAGAAAGAGACGACAACACGCACGTCCTAGCCAGCGAAGACATGCGTACATGTGCTCGCGCTCGAAGCTGACCGCGTGCATGTTCACATGCTGCTAGCATCTGAGCAACGAAAAGCAGGCAGCGGTTGAAACGGCCAGGACTCTTTCTGGCAGGTGAAGGCCGCAGCCACCCGCGAGAAGAGGCGCGCAACTTTCCCTTTTACTGCTGCCTGCACTCCTGGGCTGGGCCCTCCGGGGGCGGCGGCAGCTCGTCCTCCTTCATGAAGGGCTCCAGCCGCCCCACTGGCTCGCCGAACTCGTCCTCCAACGACACCAACTTCCAGCATATTATCTGCATAAACCTTGCCAGCCGGTCCTGGTCCAGCTTGAAGATGTCGTAAAACCTGTTGCAGTTGCCAGGAGTCTCGTCACCAGTGACAACCACCCAGGTGATGTCTTTGCCAGCGTGCCTGGGGGGGAAGAAAAACGCTATGATAATCAATGTTCGGAGGGCCGCGTGGACTTCTTGGGTCGGCGCTGGACCCTCTTCCCCTGACGCGCGCCAGAAGCGGCGCAGGAGCCGCAGCAAGGAAGAGCCCAGCACCGACCACCGACAATCGCCGATGGCGAGGACCGACGGTCGACTACGACGGTCGAGATTCGGCGCCAGGAGGGGTCATGAACGGCGGTGCACCGCCAGGGGGGGGGGTCCAACACCGATCCAAGAAAACTATACGGAACTCGCGAAATTTATGTATGTGTTTTTCTTGCTCCTCGAACGCCACGAGAGCTTCCCGCTTCCGTACAAGTCGGGGCGGCCAGAGACATCAAATATGTCGCCGTAGCAGGAGACCAGCATCCTGTCGCTGCTGCAGCCGAACCTCTTGGCATGATTGAAACGGTTCCCCCCCTACAGACGCTCCACGACCACACCTCCGAACTCCGCTGTGTAATCTCAGTTTTCTAGACGCCATCGCGTCGACGGAGGAGGAAGAGAAGAAAGGGGCAGGCGCTCTGTACAAACAGCCCTTTCGGCCCACCAGGCCACTTATATAGTTGAAAAGCCAGACATCCAGGAGGGAAAAGAGAAGAACAGGGAAGGGAAAGGAGCGAGAGCGACGGATGATGATAGAAACGAATCCTGAGGAAAACGGGGCCTGGACCCTGTGGCATTCTCCTGGAGCCATCTCCTGGAGCCAGATCCCTATCCCGAGCCGTTTCTGGACGAGCCCCGAGCCGCTGGTAGAGGGCCCCTGGAAAGGCACAGAAACGGCGAGAAACCTGAGGAGACTCGCACCAAGGCATCCGACGATATGATTTGTTCAGCACGCGGCCTCAGAGGTCCCGACCACTTCCCTAGGGGTAGTTATTTTCTCGTAAAGGATCCGTGTTTGGCGGCCTCTGGGCCCAACAACGGCCCCCAGAGATCGAGATCGAAGAAAACACCAAGATTGCAACAATCATACCGTCGGAGATCTGGGCTTGCGCCACAGCGAGACCTCGCGAGATCCGCGGTGCCGATGACGCCGACCGGCTGCCTGTTGGGGCAATGCTAAGGGTGGTCAGCACACGGGGGGTGGCCACTTCCTCCAGGAAGCGCCACTTCGTCGAGGACGCGCCCCAAAGAACACTTTCGAGCCTGCACAAGCGAGGCCCCTGGACGGAGGAATCGGTGACCCCCCCTTGTTGAGTATCGTTTAACCGATCCCCATCGCCAGCGGCGTGGCCTGGGCCCCACTCGCCGATTTACCTTCTAGATGGGAATATATGTCGTTCCCTTCGGGTTTCGAGGTGTGTATTCCCAACTGGGGTGGTAATTTGGTGGGGGTCTCGAAGGGGATGGGGATGGGGATGGCGATTGGCTAAACGATACCCACTTGTGGCGACCCCCTTCGCACTGCCCGACCTGTAAGTGGCCGGCAGCTTGGCGGCGGGCGCCCTCGGGGCCTCCCGCGACCCGTCGGGCGCGGCGCTCCTCGCCTCGGCGTGCGCCTTGCGGCACAGCTCCAGCATCTCCTCCACGACCTGCAGCCGCTGCTCGCCCGAGATCCCCGGCGGCGCCGCGGCGCCAGCGCCGGGGCCTGCGATCGAGCACCTCCTCCGTCCTTGGCCTCCCTCCGTCAGTCCTGGCGCTCCTCTTCCTCATCTCCCTCCCCCACCCGGGCGCGCATGAGCGCGCCCGAGAAGGGGAAGGAGGGAGAAGGAAGGACGGAGGAGGAAGGCGGGAGGAGGAACGAGGGAGAAGGAGGGAAAATCAGGCAGGAGGGTTGGGGACGAAGAGAAAAGACCATAATGAGGAAGGGTAATAGATGATGACGAGGCCTCTCCCCTCCCCATCCGCCACCGCATCCGTCTTGTCCTCCCCCTCTTCCACCACTCTCTCCTCCTCCTTCTCCTCCTCCTCCTCCTCCTCCTCCTCCTCCTCCTCCTCCTCCTCCTCCCGGGGAGCGGATTTTTTTACAGTTTCTGGGGGCCCTCGAGGGAGGAGGTAGGGGAGACAGGGATGAAGAGGACGACGACGACGGCGAGGAGGAGGAGGAAGAAGAAGAGGGGAAGAAGCGAGGATGGGGCCGACGGAAACACAGACGAGTGCAAGAGGTAAGTGCTAATGGCGCATGGGCGGACAGAGGGTCAAACCAATCATCGTTAGTGATGTTTTCCTCGGGGGGGGGCGCGGGTTTGGAAAATGACAAAACATGGGAATCGGAACCGCATATTGAAGCATTGGGGGCCCGTCAGGACCCTAGGCGCGTTCAGTCCCGAAAGCGGGGAGCAAGCGAAGAAACATCAACTTGAAGACTTCGAGGGTTCTCACAGCAAGAACGCGAGTTCTAGTTCGAATGTGAAGGAGCCCTAAGCGGAAATGGCACTCTACTCGTGATTGGCGAGAGCGCGATTTCTAAAAACGTGAATGGGTCCGAGGCGAGAGCGCGATTCCTGAGCGGCGAGAGTGTGCTTCTTCAATAGAGTGTAAGATACCAGGCAAGGGGGCGAGAGGGCGACTCCTGCGGAATCAGGGAGAGAGGAACTATCGAGCGAAAGCGCGATTCCTGAGCCCTTCTTGAGGAAACAGCAGGCAGAAGCTGTTTTGTTCTTCTAGTCTGGGCAGCAAAACATTATGAGTCCTTGGCAGAACGGTAAAAGTGAGAACTCCAGGGCTGGGGGGACACCCCAATTGAAAAACACAGTGGCTGCCGGTCGGGGGATCAATCATTCTTATTCTTAATATATGAGGGTTCGAAAGCATGCACACGCACTTGCGGTGGTCCGCGCGGATTCTTCGGATGGTCCGGAAACTGTACGTGAGGTCGCGCGCCACGAGAGCCGCGGCCCGAAGACGAATAATAATAATACAAATAATACTATAAATATCAATAATACTAATCATACTAATGATAATACGAATCATAATTACCATAGTGAAAAAGAAAAAGGGGGAGGAGGATCATGATCCCGGTCCCAGAGGAGGAGGAGGAGGAGGAGGAGGAGGAGGAGGAGGAGGAGGAGGACCAGTGCAAACCCAAGACTCACCAAAGATGTTGAAATACACCCCCCCTCCAAGATCCCTCTTCTTAGGCCCCTGCGCCGTAGCCATTTTGGTTCAAGACTCCATGTCGCCCCGAGGCAACGTGGAGACCGCTGATCCGCGGACTGCTCCCAGTGAATTTGTGAGCTCCTGCTGACTGCGAGCTCCTGCTGGAACACTTCTGTGTTGGATTGCCTTGAGGGCATCAGCTGCGCCGCTGCCCGAGTCTGGAAGAGTGGTTCCCCAGGCTCGCCGCGATGGCGCCGCCTGGAGCAGGATCGCTGCCACCCGGCCCCAAGAAGCCGACCTGGGGGTGCCCCTCATGCGGAACATCGACATTCTGGGCATGCCAAGTCGAGTGCAGATACGGGGCATCTGCGCCCATGCGTGTCACCCAACGGGCGCGCAAGGCTGCTGCTGCTCAGGCCGAGAAGTCCAGGGCTCCCTCCCGACGCGTTGGCGGAAGCGACATGGGCAGCGCCAGCCCCGCACCGTGGAGCACCGAGTTCAGACAGCTGCAGGCGAAGTGCGAGGAGCTGGCGCAGCAGCATCAGGCGAAGAAGAAAGGCGGTGCCGAAGGGCGGGCCAAACGATAAAGACCAAGACGAGGAGGCTGATGCCTCTAGAGACGCGAACAACCCCAAGCGCACGGCCCTGCAAACGCAGATCACGGTACATCAAGAGTCTCTCGGAGTTCGGCGAGGAGGGCTCCACCGAGACGCTCAAGGTCCAGCTGGCTGACAAAAGGGCCCAGCTTCGAGCCCTCCGTCCACCAGCCACCGCCCACCGCGCTGCCCAGCAGAAGTTGAAGAAGTACAGAGTTATCCACTCTTGAAGCGAAGATGGAGCAGCTTGCGAGTGACATCGCGGGCAAGAAGGCAACCATTGCAGCCAAGGCTGCCGAGGTGGCGACGCTGTCTGCTGAGGCGGCGGCGAGTGCGGCCGGCGTGGCGAGGCTGCGGAAGCCGCACAGGCGCCGGAGCAGCCTGTCGTCCCCGAGGACATCCTCGCGAAGGTGCCGGAGGACCCTGGCGTGGGGAACGACCCCGAGCTGGCGGCGTTCGTCAAGGAGATGGCAGCGAATGCGCACTTCGGCAGGCTGCAGAAGCTGCTCCACACCAACCTGCAGGCCACGCTGCGCGAGCAGAAGGCTGACGTCGAGATGTGCACGGAGCCGCCGCCCGCCGCCCCGCCTGGCGCGCAGCCCGGCCAGGGGTCTGCTGGCGCGCCTGCTGCTGCTGTTGCTGCTGGGGGCGCTGCTGCTGGGGGCGCTGATGATGAGACTGAGCATGGCGACAAGCGCCCCGCTGAAGACTTCACCATTGAGGACGTCCAGAAGTTGTAAGATCAGCTTCAGGAAGGAGGCGATTCTCCGCTCTCTCGCGAAGACCTCATTTCCGAATCGACGACATGCAGAAGCACAAACACTCCCGTGTCAGCACGGGGTGTTGAGCACCACCTGTCGCGAGTGAGTGGTTTCCTTGTTGCTGCAGGCCGCAGCAAGGGCGCAGATACGCCCGCGGAGGCGCAGCAGGTGAGACTGCTCGAGACCTTCAACGCCAATCAGGGGGAGCGGACCTTGAAGAAACGGCTTGAGAGGACTCCTGCGCTGGTGGTGATGGCGTAGGAGATCGGGTACCACGATTATGAAGCTAAGGAGCTGTCGAGTTGGACAGTGCGTGCTGGCTGGAGTGTGATCATCGAGCCAGGCGAGGCCACAGCTGGGTACCTTCCCAATGCAGGCCTCGCGGTGTTTGCAAGGGCGAGCGTTGGCCTGCGGCGTCCTCCCGGACCTTCTGTGCTGTGTCCACGGCGCGCGCTGCACGTCAAGCTGGACGCGCCAGGCTGGCCGCCCATGAACCTCATCAACCTGTGCCTGCACTGCTCGGAGGGCATGGCGGTCAGGAACGCCGCCATCCTGAGCATTGTGGGCCAGGTGCTGGCGGGCCAGGTGTCGCTCTGCATCGTCGGCGGCGACTGTAACATGGAGGTGGCGGCGCTGGAGGCGGTGCAGCTTCCTGCGGCGGCGCTCCTGACGATGGTCGTGCCAAAGGCCATCACGTGCAGGACGGCGAGTGCATGCAGCACAATCGACTACTTCGGCCTCTCCGCAGCCGCCCTGCGCCTATTCCTGCGCGTCGACGCTGACATGGCCTGAGCTGTGAAGCCCCACCGCCCTGTCACCCTCCAGCTGGCGGCGACAGGTGAGAAGGTCCAGATTCTCACATACGCGGTGGCGCCGAAGCTGGCTGCAAGCACGATTGCAGGCCCCTTCATGCCTGATGAAAATTGGGGTTGTGAGACCAGGTATATATGCACAGCAGGCTGTCATCATGTCCAAGGAGGCAAACGCTGATGCGGCGCGGGGCTTCCTTACCCTCGCCTGGGGCCAGCGGGCCGCTAAGACTGCCAAGATGATCGTGCACGTGACAGGGGGCGCGCTGAAGCATACCGACGGCTTCGCGCGCCTGCTTGGGCCCCGGTGAGCTGATGCCATGTGCGAGGGAAACTATGCTGAGGGCATGCAGGCTCTCGCGGAAGGATGGAAGTGGCTAGTCGACGGTCTGACCGGCATCCTCTTTGTCAAGGAGAGAAGTCCTGCTGGGCGCTATCTCAAGCTGCCCGACGAGCTCATGAGCTTCCAGACCTGCCAGTATGCGAATGTGGGCATCAACCTCAGGCTCGACGCGACCTTGCAGCAGGCGCGCGCCATGCTCGAGGGCAACTTCGAGGCAGCTCGAGTTCGAGAGTTTCTGGAATAGATTGATGAAGATGTGCGCGCTGCTACCCACACTGCTGATAGGGACAGTGCGCAACGATGGCGCGATTGGTGTCAGCAGGCCTGCTCTGGTGGTGCGCGGGGCATGCATCGCATCACGGCGTGCAGGGTCGTGCAGGCTCTCACGGCTGTCGTGAAGGCAAAATACAAAATGGCCCCGGACTCGGGCAGAAAACAAAAACTAACAATAGCCTCGGTCCCGGGCAAAAGCCTGCAGTGGCCCTGGACTCGGATGGATTGCCATCGTCACACCCTCACATCATCGTCGCTGACATGGAGGATGTCCATGCTCGGCTGTGGCCTGCCTCTGGACCAAGCACCATGGGCCTAGATACCCGACAGGTCGTCGCTCCCTCGAGCGACCCCGCAGCAGATTCGGGAAGTTGCGAAGACCTTGCCTGAGACCACGTATTTAAGCTTGGACGGCATGCAACCGCCCCACCAGGCACACCTCTCTGATGAGGCGCTGGAGGCCTTGGTGATGCTCTGGGAGGCGTGCGAATATATCGGCATGCTTCCAATGCAGCTGGTTTGGACCCTGATGCCGATGCTCCCCAAAGCGCGGGGTGGGCACAGGCGCTTCGTCTTATGCGCGGCGATGTACAGAGTCTGGCAGCGACTGCGACGTGACGCCATCCAGAATCTGCAGCATATTCTGTCTCGTGTTTACTAGGGTGCTGCAGCGGGGAAGTCTGCAATAGATAGTGCGCGGAAGGTGGCGGCGAAGGCTGAAGCATGTGTTCAGCATGGGCGCCTCAGCCTCAGCATCATCGCCG